CTCTCTCTCTCTCTCTCTCTCTCTCTCTCTCTCTGACAGGGTTTCCTGGCTGTCCTAGAACTCACTCTGTTGACCAGGCTGGCCTCAAACTCAGAGCTCGGTCTGCTTCTGCCTCCTGAGTGCCGGCATTAATACTACCATGCCTGGCTTCCATGTTTCTTATTGTTGCCCGTCTCTCTCTTACAAAGTCAGTCATTTGATAATTGACCTGGCTTATCATGCTGTCAGCGGTTGGAAAGTGACTGCACTCCGTGTTTGCTGAGTGAAGGAAGATAGACAAGTCCAAAAAGATCCCTCGCCATCCCAGCTAGCTAGTTATTCCAATCTCATCTAACTCGGATGTCTGTTTTGTGAATCTTTCAAAGAGTTTCTCTAAATATCTACCTTTTCCATGAAGCCTACCCTGAAGACTTTTATAAATCCAGCCCACTCTAGAGTTTCTTTTCTTTCTTTCTTAGACAGGGTCTTTATGTAGCCCACACTAGATTCAAACTTGCTGTGTGCCAAGTCTGGCCTTGAATCCTCCTGTCCACACCTCCAGTTGGGATGCAAGGTATGTGTTATCATGTCCAGTTTTATGCTCGACTAGTTATTTTAATATAAGAGGGGTCTCCCTGTGTAACGCAAGCTCCAACACGTTATCTGTTTCTCAGTCTTAGCGGCCTGAGAACAGAGACCCCGTGGACCATCGTGCGAGGTTTATAGTAGACAGTTTCAATAGGGTGGGGACTTTTTCTGACTTCTTTAATGCCAAGACAGAAAAGACGGTCTCGCACACAGTAGGCAGCCAAATAAATCTTGATTAGGTCTGAATGGCTGAATGCGAACACATTCCACCCCAAAAACAGGTTAAAGCCGGATGACGAGCCCCGCCTTATGAATCATTCATGACTTGGGTCCCGCCCACACGGGGGGGGGGCGGTGACGCGCGCGTTCACGCTAAAGAAGCTCCCGGGCTCCCACGCTGGGCGGGCGGCCGGAGGTGCGTTCTGCGCCGGCGCCGAGCGCCCGGGGGCGGGCTCGCCTTCTCAGGTGCGCGCGCGCGGGAGGGCGGCGGCGGCGGCGGCGCAGCGCGCAGGCGCGGCGAGCGAACTGCGCAGGCGTCAGTCTTGGGCGGGCTGAAAGCAGCAGAAGCGGCGGCCGAGTCGGAGGCTCCGGCACAGGGGCGGGAGCTGAGGCGGTAGCAGACCGGCTGGCGGGCTAGCAAAAAAGCGGCGGGATGGTGGACTACCACGCGGCGAACCAGGCGTACCAGTATGGCCCGAGCAGCGGCGGCAATGGCGCGGGCGGCGGCGGAAGCATGGGCGACTACATGGCCCAGGAGGATGATTGGGACCGGGACCTGCTGTTGGACCCGGCCTGGGAGAAGCAGCAGCGCAAGGTGCGCGGCCCGTGAGCCGGACTGGATGGCGTCCTGCGCGGGGCGGGGAGGGAGGGGGGTCCTGGGAAACAATTGGCCGGCCCGGGAACGGGTTTGGAGTCCCGGAGACGGATTACAGAGCTTAAGGAAGCAATTGGGAATCTGGAGGGGGAGGGGGGAAGTGGCGGCCAGGTATGAGACACGGGGAACTGGGGCAAACGAGATGACGATTCGAGAGGTTGAAATGGAACTAGGTTTTAAGGCGAGAGTGTAGGGCCCAGGCAAGCAATGGGATCCGGCAAGGGAATCGGTGAGTCTGGATAGTATTTGGCCGTTTGGGAATCCCAGTATGGGGGGGATGATCTGGAGTGCCAGAGAGTCTAAAGAAGAGATTGGAATTGCAGGAAGCCTCAGTGCGTGTGTTTGTGTGTGTGCGTGTTGGGCGGGGGGGGGGGTGTTGCGTTCTAGAAGAGATGAAGAATCGGGAAAGGTAAAGGAGCACTGAGGGACGATTGTGGAATCCTGAGACAGGAGGGAGGGTCAGGGAGTCTACATGGGCTTGGGGGCTTTTAGGGTGATAGGATGGTCTGATGGGTCTGGGGTCTGAGAAGGTAGGTGTCGAGGGCAGAAGTTAGGAGCCTAGGAACAGATGTTTGTGAAGGGGGTGAGGCTTATTGAGGGTGCCTTGCTGTAAAGGGAAGAGGATAAGGGGCGTCATTAGAATTGATGGGGAGAAGCCGGGCAGTGGTGGCGCACGCCTTTAATCCCAGCACTTGGGAGGCAGAGGCAGGCGGATTTCTGAGTTCGAGGACAGCCTGGTCTACAGAGTGAGTTCCAGGACAGCCAGGGCTACACAGAGACCCTGTCTCGAAAAACCAAAAAAAAAAAAAAAAGAATTTATGGGGAGGCCCAAAAGAGTGTGGGTGAGAGGTAGTGAAATAGTAAAGGTTCCAGGCCCACGGGGAAATAGTTGAGCAAGAGTGAGAATAGTGGAAGTCAGTAGGAGCTGGGATGGAGGATAATGGGAGGAGGTTCGTTTGGGAAAATGGAAGTCTGATTAGAAAGGCCCTGGGTGACGCAGAGCCTGAGAAAGAAAGGGGGATTCGTTGGGTGAGGAAGAAATGAATGTCCTAGGAGAGTAGTGTCTTTTGATGAGGAGGATAGGTAAAGGGATACTAAAATAGTGTTTCCTGAGGTATGTAGGAGTGCAGAGGCAGTGTTAGAGGGAGGCCACAGTGTGGACGGGAGGCCAGAGTAGGAGGCCAGGGGTGGTGGTGTGTTGGGCTGGTGGAGAGGTAAGCTCAGGGAGAGGGTGTGAGTATTACACAGGAAGAGCTAAAGAAGGGTGTGTTGAGTGGGTGAGGATCTGGGGGGTGGTTCACAAGTGTGCGAAGAGGGTGGGGAATTAAAATTGAAATTAGAAGCTATTTCACGCCTGCCTTCCAGAGGTTGAGACCTTCCGGATTTGTAACTTACTGATGGGGTACTGTGGCCCTTGCTCTTAGGGTGATCAGAACTGTGCTTTTGGTGACTCTGCAGATAGGATATGCAGGGAGTTGGGAGTGGGGGCCCTGAGGGTGTGGGAGAGAGCCGGTTTGGTGACATTTCCCAGACGCCCCCCCCCTCCCCCGAGGCAGGCAGGGAAGTTGCTATATGGCTGGGCCCAGTCATCCAGTTTGGAGGGTCGATGGTAGGAGAAGCTGCTGCCTGGGCAGCCTGAGGTGGGCCAGGTGTAGCCTTGGCTCAGTCGTGATGTCAGCTTGTATGCTCTCGGTAGTCATGAATGGGGTGGAAGTCAGCAGCAGGGTAATGGCGGTGTCTTATGCCGTTCTTACCGAAAAGTGGGTGTGTAACATAGTTGTGGAATGATAGCTAAGGAATGAATGCATTTTGAAAGGCAGAGGAGATCTTGCCTGGATCTCAACAATTATTTATTGCCTGAGGCCATGTGAGATTGGAAAAGGTTGAAAGTTGCCAAAAGACTTGGAAAGTTGGAAGGAAACGGGGGTCACAGCATTGGCTTTGAGAATGTTTTGGATCTAACTTTTCTAATGTTTAGGGACAAGTACCATACTCCCCTACCCCCCTTTTCCTTAGATGACAGGAGTAGGGGCCATCCTTTCAGAAATACCAACCTCTGCTGCCTCCCACTACAGAAAGGTGCAGAGGTTGTGAGGCTGGTGTGAATTCAGACCCTGGGCAGGAACCAGGACTCACCAGAACCCCCATGGCTGCCTGTGTCGTTCTCCTCTGCCCCTTCCTGGTTCCCTTCCTTCCCAGCCAGGAAAGGTTGAGGAACAGGATGGTTCACAGTATTCTTTAAAGTTGCCTCAGCGCTCTGTAAGGGCCCTGCTCCAGTGTGCTTGCTTTATAACCTACTCCAGCAAATATTTACACTTAGCTGTTCTTCAGGGGAAAAGTATTGCCTCACCTCTGCACCCTGTCCTGCATAGGCTAAGATCCTCGGTGCCACGGGGAGAAGGAGTTATGAAAGGAATATACCAGTCGGTGCTTTTTATCCTTCTTACAGAGCTCCCAACCCCCCAACAGGATGGCTAGGACTTTCCTTTTTTGTTTTATGACTGGGCCGTTCCCATGTTCCAGTGCAACTTTGTGAATGTGAATGACAGGCCTTTTGTGCCTCTCCGTGGCATGTGGACACTCCCACTACAGGAAGAGTGACAGTCCTGTATGTACCTGTTCACACAGTTTAAAATTCTGTGGCTAGAACAGCTGAGACCGGAGTTGGCTCAAGAGTGTGTCTGTCTCTTACCTGGCAGCCCTTCCCTCTGAATTCTAGGACCCCTATACCCAAGGCATCATCCATACGGAGGTTATACAACAGGTGTCTCACAGGGCAACCTTGAACGTTGTAGGAGGACAGGGAACTAAGTTTTTAAAAATATTTTATTCTTGTTGTCGTTTTAGTCTGGGTTTTTATTCAGGTTTTTCCTGAGTCCCGGGCTCAGGTGATCCATGTGCTTCAGCTTCCCGAGTAGCATGGAACAGGCCTGTAAACAAAGTCTTGAGCAATTAAGAGTCCCTAGTTCCCTTTCAAGGTTGTCCCATCCAAGTGCTGGTCAGATTGAACTTTTTTTTTTTTTTTTTTTTTGGTTTTTGGTTTTTGGAGAGAGGGTTTCTCTGTGTAGCCCTGGCTGTCCTGGAACTCACTCTGTAGACCAGGCTGGCCTCGAACTCAGAGATCTGCCTGGCTCTGCCTCCCAAGTGCTGGTATTAAAGGCGTGCGCCACCACTGCCTGGCCAGACCACTTTCCTAAAAACGACCTCAGTAACATCTCCTGCTCTTTTGAAGGGTGAGAGTTCCCCCAAAGGTCTCATAGCCAGAGGAAATGCCTTGCTCTGGGATTGAGTGTTAATTGTCACGCCATTGTTTGCAGACCTCAGAGTTTAGACCCTGACCTTTGGCTCAGGCTGTATTAAATGTGAGTTAATTATTTGAAAGTTCTGATAATGTTTTGTTTTTCTGTAAGTCCTTCTTCTCCCTACTCCCGTTTTTCTTGTGGGCTGATGATGAAGGCCCAAAGTAGCCATCTGGTAGTTTGCTCCATTACTCTGATTGCTCCCCTCCAAGGAGCTGGCTACGACTAACAGCTCCTTAGCAGCTTTCAAAATTAAATAACATACTTACCACAAAAAAAAAAATGTAGCCAAACTGGGTTGTCCTCTGGAAACAAGATAAGTATGTGAGCTGGTTAGTATATGCTGTGTGTGTGCCCTCTTGGGAGAAGAGAGGAGGAAGCACCTCAGCTGCCAGTATCCTGTTCTTCCCGCCCTCTTGGAAAATGTGTGGTGTTCTGGAAGCCCAGCACTCAAGATCTTGAGTCAGGCCCATCTCAAGTTCAGGGCCTGCCAGCATGAGCAAATATGGGGTAGACCTTTATTTCAAAAAGAAAGAAAAAGAAATAGGGTACGGTCTCTTCACACTTGAGAGCTGTGATCTGGTTGTGGCCCTTGAGTGGCATCTACCATGTCACCTAATCCTAGGCAGTCCAGGGTATGTGTTGGGTGGGGGGATTGCCTTTTACCTTTTAAAACACTCTCCCTGGTTCCAGCTTCTGAGACCAGCTGGGTGGCTTCTTTGGCAGCAGGAACTGACTCGTCCTCCAGTTGAATGAAAGTCATGCTAGAAGCTTCTATTGAATGGCAGCCAGTTGCTTGGCCTTGTGGGGAAAATTGGATGAAAGTGTTGGGAGAAGAAAACCCCAAAAACAAAACAAAAACCGGAATGACCTAGGAGTTGGCTTGTTTGTGATCCCAGCATTTGGTATTCTGAGGCAGGTGGATCAGAGAGTTAGAGGCCAGCCTTTGTGACCTAACATTCAAGACAAGCCTGAGTTATTTAGTAAGAATCTAGCTGAGCATGAACATATGGTATTTGTGATATCAGCTCACAAGAGGCAGAGTCAGGAGGATTATAAATAAGTTTAAGGCTGGTTAGGGTTTTTACATAGCGTTTCAGGCCTGTTAAGGGTATATAGTAAGAGCCCGTCTTAAGTAAAAGACAGCAACAAAAAGTCTACCAGGAAGTGAGGCTGTGATACTGTCTTCCTATCCGAGGGAGAGGCTAGCAGGGAGTCAGTGAAAATGAATCCTCACATTTAACATATCCACCTCACTGCGCTACCTGGGAGCAGGGCCTAGTCTTGAATTCCAAGTCTAAACCTAACAGGTAGGTAGGTAAGGAGGGCTCTGCCGTGGCAGCATGCACTCTGCTTCTGGCTGACTTGGGCCAGGCAGCAGCCTTTCAGCTGAGTGAGTGCGTAGTGCGGGTTATCTGGCAGTGCTGTCTGGATGACAGCTAGGAGGAGGGCGCCAACAAAGCATCAATTTGGGAATGCCCGAGGAATGTGAGGCTGTTAAGATGAGCATGCCAGGCTTTGCCAGACTGATTTATAGCCTGCTGCACAGTGCACAAGCCTCTGACCAGATCTTTCCTTTCTTTCTTTCCTTTTTTTTTTAATTGCCTCGTTGTTATCTTGAGGGGGAGAAAATGAGCCACC